ATGGAAAGCCCAAGTTGGAACTGTGCAATATGCATTAAAGTCTAGCTAGGTTGGAGGAAAAGGTGAGTCTCAATTTAGTGAAGTGTGACTCCTAGAATATTTGTCTAAGAAAAGCCATTTTATTACCTTCAACTCCACTAGGACTTGCAGTATAACATTGAGAGTCTAAAGCAAGGTGGTAAGTACATAAAAGGCTTTCTGGGATAAATGAAAATCATGTATAATGAGAATATTGTTCTAGTCTGACTTGATCCTTCTAATATGTTTTAAAATAACTTATTTGGAATAATAAAGGAGTGACTTTTATCTTCATCAATAGAATCTTATAGAACTTGGAAGAATCAAGGTAGAAATGGCCTACAAACCTCCTCCCTGAGAACTAATTCACATAGCATCTGAAGGTGCTGTGCAAGCTACCAAGAGACAAAACCAATCAATAATCCTACACAGCTGTTAAGCCTGAACCTCAACAGTAACCAGCCTGGCAAGACATCCCCTGTGGTGATATTTTGTTTATGATCTAACAAATAAAGCTTGCCTGAAGATCAGAGTACAAAGCTAGCCACACTAGTCAGCCATACATGCCAGGCAGTGGTGGTGCACACCTTTAATCCCAGCACTAGAGAGGAATATAAGGTGGGTGGAGACAGGAGTACAGGTATTCAATCTACAGTCATGCTAAAGTCAGAATCTCCCCAGCCTTGGTAGAGGTAAGAACTCTCTAGTGTTTGGCTGCTTTGCTTTTCTGATCTTCAGCTTGAACCCTAATATTGCCTCTGGGTTCTTATTAATCATACTATAATCCCCAATGGTGCAATAGTAACACTCTTATCTTGGGGGTAACCACTTAAGGTCCACTCATTAGGATGGAATTCATGCCTAGAACTGTAAAAGATTATAAGAGAAGCTACTGATGCCATTTTCCTAAGCCAATGTAATTTTTAACTGTATTTTAAATACTTTTATTCACAGATATGTGTAGCTTTCACCCCTCATCAAAGAAGCATCTTTTTGCAGATAGAGACCATTACAGAGACCCACAACTGTCAAAATGCAGAGGATAAATTGCTGTGAAGTACCCAGCCCTAGTTGATACATATACAACACAACCCCTGCACCAAAGACTCGGGGAACATCACAGAAGACAGGCATCAAACTTGTGCCTTCTAGATATGACAAAGAAGCTACACCCACAAAATCTCAACAGTATAGTGGCTTAAGAAAGACCTGAACAATGATGACTCTGGTTGACATGACAGCACGAATGGGGAAAATTTCACAAGTCCCACCCCTGGATGAAGAGCTATAGTCAATCAATGGCTGCAGAGAGAGGGAGCATTATTTTTCTTCAGGGCCAAGCCCCATGACTGGTTGTCCAACCCAAGTGATCAGCCCTAAGCGCATGAATGTAAGAGCAACATTAAATGGATTCTCTCTCTCTCTCTCTCTCTCTCTCTCTCTCTCTCTCTCTCGCTCTCTCTCTCTCTCGCTCTCTCTCTCTCTCGCTCTCTCTCTCTCTCGCTCTCTCTCTCTCTCGCTCTCTCTCTCTCTCTCACACACACACACACCCCACACCACACCACACCACACCACACCACACCACACCACACCAATAATAATGAAAGAAGAGGTCATAAATTTGAGGAAGAGTTGGTCAGGGGGAGACATGGGAGGAACTTGTGGGGAGGAAAGGGAAGGATGAAGTGATAGAAACACATGTTCATGTATAAAATGCTCAAAAAAATTAAAAAGTAACTTACTCCCTTAGGTAGAGCAGTTTTCTCAACTGTATTTTCATTCTGTTTTGCATGTGTGTGGTATGATGCTTGTGTATACATGTGTTTGCATATGTTGGGTGTGTGAGGGTGTGTGTCTGTGAGTGTATGTAAGAAAGAGGTTGGCATCAGGGTATCTTCCTTGACTCTTTCCATTTTCTTTATTGGAGCAAGTTCCTTTTCACCCATCTACAGAGATAACTTATGCATGGCCATCCATTGGACCACCAGACAGAGTGGTGTCAAATAAATGTCAGAGGCCTGGGGACAAGAATTAGTCAGGGCCAGATTTATTCTCCAAGAATGATTGGCTGCAGAAGCTTGGTGAAAAGATGAAAGCCACTCGGTCCCTGGTGGGATGACGTAGAGCTGAAAATGGGAAGCGGCCCATGGGGTGGAGCCTAGCATTTATATATGTGAAGCAAGAACACTTATTTATCTGCCATTCTTTCCAAGCCAGATGACTGAGGCATGTCACAGGCTTGTGTTTTGGCAATCCTGGTGGAACAACTCCTGAGCACAAGCTTGTCACTCTTCTGCCTCTTTCTCCAGAACACACATCAACTGCCAAGTCTGAGTCACGTCTACAGAGCTGAGGGCTGACCTACATACACCACGAGCTAACACCTGGCCATCATTGTGAAGAATTACCGTGGCAGTGCCAATTCTCCAAGCGGCTCCCTGATCGTATCCCAAATCACTTATGCTTCATTCTAGTTCCCAAGCTCCGCCCACTGCCAGGGTTCTTCCTTCCTGAGGGCCTCACATTTCTCATTTTCTTTCTATTTCTTCAGCTGCCACATAATTCCACGTGTGAGCCTGTGCAGCTCCTGACATCTGGGGCATCATGTCCTTTCCACCACTTTGGCTGGTCTTCCAAACAGCTCATGCATTGGGAGCTTAGAAAACATACCCCCACCCTGTGACCCATTCATTCATTCTTTCAAGTATCCCAGTGACAAACTTTCTACTCATTCTTGGTTTGTTCATCTGAGGTGCACCAGGGGTCTTACTGGGTCCTGGGGCTGTGCAGTGATCAATATGCCAGAACTGCAGGTTCTGGGTGGAATTTATAACCTTGGCTCTTTGGGGTTTTTTTCCCTGAATTTATATATGTTCACGTGTATTTATTCATACATATGAATATATACTTGTCTCTTTGGCAAGGCATGTCTGAAATACTGTCAAAGGGAGACTGTGGTCACTGCGTTGTATTGCAGGGAAGCAAGTTATATGAGGAATGGCTTCTCGAGTTCTACTCCACAGTACAATAACCACAGTTAACAATGAATAGGTTGTTTCAAAATAGTGGTGAGAATGTTGAGCATTCCATCACAGAGCAAGATAACACAGAGCAAGATAGGTACGCCAGTGGTCCTGATCTAGCGTTACACATCATGAACATACCATGGATGTACCTGGCAAGAAATTGTTTTCCAAAAGTGTAAAAAAGAGAAAGATGGGCTGGAGAGATGGCTCAGCGGTTAAAAGCACTGCCTGCTCTTCCAAAGGTCCGGAGTTCAATTCCCAGCAACCACATGGTGGCTCACAACCATCTGTAATGAGACTTGGTGCCCTCTTCTGGCCTGCAGGCATATATACAGGCAGAATACTGTGTACATAATAAATAAATCTTTTAAAAGAGAGAGAGAAAAAATAATAAAAATAAAAGAGAGAGAGAGAAAGATTTAATTCTAGCACTCATGAGGCAGAGGCAGAAGCAGAGGCAGGGGGTCTCTATGAGTTCAAGGCCAGCCTAGTCTACATAAGTTCTAAGCTAGCCAGAGCTATACAGTGAGAACCTGTCTCAGAGAAGAGAGGGGGGGAGAGGAAGAGAGAGAATTGTAGATATGTACAATTGTACAGTCACTGTGCATCAGTTAATTAAACATGCATGTCTTTGACATGCTGAACACACAAAGTACCATCTGTACAAAGATTAAGAACAACACCTGTACCAAGTCAGAGCTTTTAAAATGACCCGGCACATTTCACAAGCCTTGCAGGACTGGGGTGTAGATACCCAACAAAGAGAGGAGGGACCTACTGGTAGGCCCAGACCCCGCCCATCCCTCTTCCATCATGCAAGTCTTTGTGTCTTGTTCTTGGCTGCTCCCAGGCTTCCCATCGAGTTCTTTGAACAGAACTTTCTATGACTGAGAAAATTTGAAAGGCACTAGTTGCCTCAAGTTTCCCAAAGTGTCTCTGTATCCAGTTTGGAGATCTTCCTAACTGTGGATTTCTCCCAAAAATCTCTTTATATCCTCTAGTTTATGACTTTCTTTTTCCATTTTTAAACATTTTTATTCAACTTTTTCATACAATATATTTTGATCGTGTTTTCCCTCCCCCAATTCCTCCATATCCTCCCCAGCTTGCTGCACACCCAACTTCATGTTTCTCCTCTTTCTCTCTCTCTCTCTCTCCCTCAACAAACAAACAAAACACAATAGGACCAGGACCAAAAATAGGCAAATAAAACAAAACAGAAGAAAAAATGTCACACACACACACACACACACACACACACACACACACACACACACACACAAGCACGCACACAAAGAAGAGCCTGTTCCCTGTAGGTCAGCCTCTCCTGGGCACAGAGAGGAGATTGATACACCCAGGGACATTCTATTCTAGTTGTAATTTTCTTTTTACTTCATGATTTTTACTCTGTAGCCCAGGCTGGCCTGAAACTCACTGTATAGCTCAGGCTAGCCTTGAACTTTCACTTATCCTCCTGCCTCAGCCTCCTACATTCTGTGATTACAGACTTAAGTCACTATGCCTAGTCTTTGTGATTAATTAATGGTTTTACCGATACCTGCTACATGTTGGATATGTAATTAGTGAGCAATAGCAAAAATGTGATCAATAACAAAATCTCAGCCATGCAAGCATGCTAGGGACTTAAAAACCTGGACCCATTTTATCTAATACGCAACAGGGAGGAAAAACTAACCCAGTTAGGAACATATCAGAAACAATAGTGAAAATGTACACAAGTGTAACACTCTGACATAAATTCTAAGTGATAGCATTTGGCATTTATTTAATACTTGCTGTGTTTCTGCAACATGATGGTTAACAATGCTTTTTATCTGATTCTTTTGTACCTTCAAACAGCAGACTTTCATTATTCACACACCACCCCTGTGATGTTTTTAAAGTGATTTTTTTGTAAGCAGCTATACTACTAAATACTTCACATGACAGAATTAATTGGTGTTTATAGACATTTATTTTAAGAGAAAACTTCACATCACTGTCTACAAGTCCAATGGTAGCTGGTAGCTGTAGCATGACTTTGTGATAACGGCTATATTATTTTCCTCTACAGGTGCTGCGGGACACCATGTCTGGGGACCATCATTAGGCTCATGACATCACAGGCCCAGGGAGTGGTGAGCAGCTAGAGCTTCTCCTTGCTGCCTGCCCTTCACGCATGCGCCGCTCTCATACACACTCTCCTCACTCAAAGCCCACTGGCCACTGCTATTTGATAAGCTGTTAGCCTCTTAGTTTGCATATTAATAAAGGATTATTCATTTTTCTAAGCTCAAATTGCAGGACTTTCCTAGAATTTTCGGGATGATGTTGCAGAAACGGAGCGTTTAACTGGGCTCATGAACCACGGGTGATGTGCACACCACTTCCTGCTCACACACAGCCTTGTGCTCCCCGTCCCCAAAGTTCCTGTTTAGGTTTCTCCCCAATGTAGAAACTTGCCCAAGACAAGGTGTTAGACGAGCAAAGGTGTTAGGATTTGACAGGCACGTTCCTCTCAGACCGCGATGGCATTCTGGGAAGGAAATGGGGTTCGGCCACTTCTCACACCAACAGCTAGAGTCCGCCTCTACCTCACCCCACACCTGGCGGTGAGGGAGGGAAGCTGGCCACGGAGTCTGAATACTGAGTGACGTCGGTGATTTGTTCTCCACTCACATTCTGAAGTTTGTGCTCGTTAGACAGCTCTTCTCCCAGGGCATGCTGGGAGGGCTGTCACAAGTGAGGTTTCCCAAGAAACAGATGTGATGAGACGAGACAGAATGCAATCAGGCATTGGGCTCTAGAGAGACCCAACTGTGAGGGGTATCGGGGCTGGGTGGAAGAAAAGGTGAACTCTGTTGCACTCAGCGCAGAGGCCTGGGCCAGCACCGAATGACCTCGGAGGTCTCAGAGCTAGCCTGCAGAGGCAAGGAGTAGGACTCCATGTTGTTCAATCATGAGATTTAAGATGTCCCCATGGAGTGGTCATAAGCTTGAGCAAGGTAGCCCTCTTTGATCAAGTGATTCAATAACAAGACACCAGCAGGTATAGCTGGGGAAATGACAGTTTGGTCCTCAGAGTCCTCTTCCTTGGGGAAGAGCACTCTGGAGCTACCTCAGTAGTGAACCCATTAGTGCCCCTCTCCCCCACCCCGCTCACAAAGAGTGGCAGCAGAGACAAGTTACAAGGCCTGGTCCCAGGAAGCTCCTCGTTGTGGTGTTTCAGTGGGCCCTGCTAGCTGTAAAAGAAGGTGCAAGGCTGTATAAGAAGGGTGGGGAGGAGGGAATATGTGGTGGGGGCAGGGGTGGGGAGGGGGGAGAGGGGCGGGGA